CTGGCTCCGCCCCGCCTGACGACTGCGTCCTGCTCCTTCATGATGACGAGCATGAGGTAAGACAGGACATTCGAGTCAACCGCAGTGCCGAGGACCATACCCTGCACACCTAAAAAAAGTACCGTCAAGATACGATGGGACGGGCGCGTTAAGCCCTTCCAGGCATGGCAGGGCCTGGACAGTGTTGTAGGCGCCATCAGCCTTCGAATGTGGATCCTGACACAAGCATACGACAACCGCTATAATCCAAGAAATATCTCACATCATCCACAGTGATGGACGTATGGTCACTTCCCCGTCTACTCCCCGTAAGGTCATAGCTCGGCTCCCTAGCACGCCGCACCATCCACCGGTGTAGGATGAGACGTACCCACTTGCTAGATGAGGCCAGGGCACGGCCCTATGAAGATCAGCGAACACGCCATCCCTAACATGGTCTGTCATGTCAGCAGGGCAGGCACAGGGTTAAAGGAAGATCCGGCTCCTTCAAAGGACTTTCTCTACCCTCTGGTTTTTTCCTTTTTCTCCCATCTGTAATCCCTGCTCCCCCTTGGTCTATAAAAGGGGGAGCAGGGCACCCCGCTAAGGGGACGGATCAATTCCGCACACAGCATACAACCAAGCAGCAACGGAGCTCTTGGCGTCCTTTCGACCTTTCCATCAGAGACTTGGGACCTGTCCCTCTCTCGACCGTTTGTACCCCTACTACGAACCTTTTTCGGTGCTAATAACATGAGCAGCAGCAGACTGGACGTAGGGACATTCAGCCCGAACCAGTATAAACCTTGTGTCCTTTAGTACACCATCCGGGCCTAATGCGCAACAAATATAAATTTACTAGTTGGTGTTTGTTCGAAACACCGACAAAACTAGACACATATATGCATGGTTTGAATCTAAATTCAAGGAGGTTTGAAATATGTGGAGCTAGGTGAATTAAAGGGGAGATCAAGGAGAAGTGTTTGTGGTGGAGGATGATAAGGAAAATTATTTGATGCCAAAATAAATTCTAGAGCAAGCAATCAAGCAACCAATCAAGCAATCATGCATACACACAAACATTCAAACAAACAATGCACGAATGATGAATTTAAATGTGAAGCGATTTCCTAACCCTAGATAATATTCCTATGGCTATAACTAAATCCTACGAGGCGCACAAATGCATATGGTGAATTTTGATGCAAGGGTTTTGGAAAACATTTTCTTTCAAAGGTGGTTTTATGGGAAAGAAACTATCCAGTTTTAATTTGTTGTAAAGTTTTAAAAAGTTCAAATTTTTAGTGGATTTTAACATGATGCAAAAACACGGGTTTTACATATTGGTGTATCTTATGAGCTGTGATGCATGTTAATGCAGTGATGATTTGGCACTAATTTGTGATGTTCGTTTTCATCACTATGGTTTGGATCTAGGCTTGGATATGGGCTGGATATAGGAGACAGACAACTAATCCATGACGACCACAAATACCAATCTATGATGGCTCAATTCGGTCCAACAAATGTATGACGCGAGATACATGACAGATTTTTCAATGATCACGATAAGTTAACCGTGACACGTTTTCGAGTGTCTGTGACCAAAGCAATCCGTCATGTAAAGCCCTAATTCTTGTAGTGTTTTAGCTTTTCTGTAAATCTTTCCTCTGTAATAACTAGACCCGGTTGATCCTGAGAAATAAAGAAATTATGTCCTCTGACATCTGAGTCTATGTTCTAAGATGATTTGATTTGCTTTTCCCTTCTCTTTCTCCCCCTCTTCACCATTTTGTTGGATCTTGAGGTCCTGAGGTTTTGGGATGGTTTGAGTGTGTGAATTCGTGGAAGGACCTTTGATGAACATCCCTGCCTAGTGAATCGAGCAATTTCGTCACGAGCACGATTTTTCACCCATGGGAGGTTTTTTGGGAAAAACCCCAATTCCTTTGACAGATTTCAAAATCTGCGGTGTTTTTGTTGTTTGTAGTGCTCTATTCTTTGGGGATGTCTTCTAATATACCCATAGATTATCTCTGCAAAGTTTGGGATTTTTTGGAGCAGTTTGGATGTATTTTTTTATTTTTATTTTGGAGAGGAAGATTTGGGGGCTGGTCCAGCAAACCGGCCTGTCCAGCAAACCGGCCTAGCTGCTTTCACCATCAAGCCAGGTCGGTTCTTCACTCCAGCCGTCCAGGCTGCCTATCCAGCTGGCCAAGCCGGTTCGGCAGCCAGCCAGGGAGCCACCCAGCCGACCAGGCGGTTTCATGGCCGGCCAGGCCGCCTTTGCCAGACCGCCAACCAAGACTAACCGGCCAATTCAGCTAGGCTACAGCTAGCCAGGCCGCCTCCTCTACAGGCTGCTCGAGGCCAGAACCAGCCAGGCCGAGTCTAGGGCCGGCCAAGCCACCTTGGCTGCTGCAGTTGTTGTGCGCTGCCCATTTTGCCACATCTTGAGCACTGGTTTTCCGCTTTGCATTCCGTTTTCTCCCGAGAGCTTCTGGTTGTGTCAAGGATCATTTTCTCATCCCTTTAACTATCAGTTGGGTAGGGATTTCGAGTCAGGCTCTTGCTTCATCTCAATTGAAGTGGAGAGCACCGCCCAAGTTTTCAATGTTGTGTTGGTTCTTTGTGTGTTGTGGTGTCCTGTTGTGTTCCTAGTCAACATCTAGACACCAGTTGGCTCTAGGGCATCACGTTTGCAGTGTTCTGTGCTTTTGGACGGTGATCTCGGGACAGTGGCCATTTTGAGAGAAATTTTGAATTGGCTCCCATTCACCACCATTTAGTCGCCTTTCTCAGTCCTTCACTGTTAAGAAATTAACAGTAGAATATCCATGCGGCCAAGTTACGGTCGCAACCAAACAATGTGTAGAAAAACTATGACTCCTAATGCGATAGTCGGGGTGCAATCTAGATAAAAAAAAGGTCCAGAAATCATTGCTTTTCCTCTTGTAAACGCGCTAAGAAGAATGATGGCTCCTTTGATGATTGAAATCCAGGAATATGGTTCCATTTATACGTGTTGCATGCTTGTGCGCTTTCTTGACTCTCGCGCACGCATCCGACGGTATGTGTGTGGACATGTATATGCGCACATATAGACATGCATGATGAGAGCATAGCTTGCTGGCGACCGCGCGCGCAACGGCTGCCGAGGGGGCGACAGCGTGCATACTTTTTTGATTCAGGAATTCAACATTGAAATAAAGATTGGGATGGCGCGGATGGCGGGGCACCAAGGGAGGGCGCGGGAGGGACCCTGGACGGCGGTGGGCGTGGAAGGGACCCCTACGGCGGCGGTGACGGGAGCAAGATGATAGAATGGGTAGGTGGATGGGGATAGGGTTTGGTGTTTTTTATGCCCTAAATGTGGGACCCATGGTGAATAGTAACTCGCATCCTCCATTTTTCACGTGAACCTGCACGGCGTAGCCCTAAATTTTTCGCATGAACCCGTGATGGTGAGGAATCCCGTTGGCTTTGACTGGCCATCAGGACGCTTTTTAGTTTCCTGTAGTTTTTTCTAGAACCAACAAGACTATTTTGACCTAATTAATCATGTCGGTTTTTAGCAACCCATGAGGTTTTGTTGAAGTTTGTGAAGGTTTACAGCCTGTTCGCTTGGTCGTATTTGGCTTATAAATCATGGCTTATCAGCCAATGAACAATATTTTTCTCTCACACCAAACCAGCCAACCTACTTTCAGCCATGTCTCATAAGCCAAACAAAAGGCCAAACGAACAGGGCTTTAGTTAAAGCCGACAGGAGAAACGAGAACCAATGGGAAAAACCTCAGCTAGTCTGAAGACGGGTTTCTGCGTCACGAGGACACACGGCATACATACTCTACTTCCATACTGCATACTGGTGTCTTCTTTGGTACTACACTTGGGCCGCGAGGACCCGTACAGCTTAGCACTTGCTGGTTGCTGCGTCGTGCACATAGTCGGTGTGTCATGGCGAGCGCGTAGCTGAAGACGAACATTCCTGTCAAGAATTGATATAATGCAAAATAAAAGCACATGAAGATCCCGCGCGCAAAAGGCAGAAGTGGGTGGCAGACTTTGGCAAAAGTGCCAATAGTTCCCTTCTCACCAACCAAGTGCCAGGATTTTAGTGGAAGAACAGACTGACGACCATGTCATGCACTGCAACCCACTGCTACCTCTACCCCCCATCCATGCAATCACGCCACCAATCAGTCGTATCACCAACTGCTACTATTGATGGACAGCACAAAAGTACTATGATCTGTGGTGTCCGGAGCACAAAGTATGCACGCCCAATGATTGGAGTTTGCACTTTGCAGAGTAGGTACGCACTTAATACAGCAAGCATGTTTAATTGTTGTGTCTTTCCAAATATGCAGATTAAAATGTGTATCTCGGTATCTGAATTGATTGAACGCAAGAATATGGAAGTACACTGCTCGTACGTACAGCATCCGTTGCACACATTTTACGCTAACACATTCGGTGTTGTGCCTTCCATTTTGCTCAAACAAACAGGTTAGAGTTGGTGATTTCGTCCCGTTATAGCTGAACGTACAGCTGCATATATATATGCCACAAACAACTGTAATGCTTCAGGAATAAGAACCACATCCTCGTTTTCCTATATATATATATATATATATATATATATATATATATATATATATATATATATATGATTAGATATGTTTTATATGTTACTGTAACGCAGGTCACATAAATCTGCAAATATAGACCTCTCTATTTTCAACTGACGCGAATTTAGGTTTTTGTTATCAAGTCATGCACGTCACAAGTATTCCTTTTTATCCAAAAAGTTGGAATAAATAAAGCTTCTTTTCCATACAAAGCTAGCAAAACTATAGTAGTATACTCCCGCCCTCGGGTTGCTGCGTGGCTCCTTTTTAATGACAAAAATTCACAACAACAGAACAAGAATCATAGATATATATCCAGCAAAAAATAAATCAAGAACTTGGCAATGGACGCCTGAACTGAAAGGATGGGAAACGGCGGCCAACGAATCAGCTGCGGCTGCACTCTGCCGGGAGCCCCAGCGGGAACCTCCAGCCGTCGTCGCAGTAGTTGTAGCGCATGTAGTTGCTCTCGGCCCACTTGACGGTGCCCCACTCGGCGCTATCAGGCTGCTTGTTCATCCACGCGTCGCTGCCGGTGGCGCAGGCGCCACCGCTGACGCAGGCGTCGGCGGAGTATCCCCGGTAGGAGACGACGAAGGGCGCGCCGGACCAGTCGATGGGGACCTTGCCCTTCTCGGTGGCCCAGTAGCTGCCGTCCCACAGCGTGGCGTGCAGCGTCATGGGCTTGGCGCTCGGGTAGGGGAGGTCGGCGTAGCGCTTGAAGCAGCGGATCACGTTGCCGTCCACCTTGAAGATGATGTTAGTCGGGTTCCAGATGATGGTGTATGTGTGGTAGTCGGCGGCCGGGTCGAACCACAGGTCGAACTGGTGCTCCTTCTTGCCGTCGCCGTTGGCCCACACGTTGGTGTTGAGCACCACGGGCTGGCCGCTGGAGTTGCCCATGAACTCCATGTCGATCTCGTCGTGCCCGTCGCCGTCGCCGGAAGAAAGCTGCATGCATGCAGTAGATAATCCATGCATGTGTACAGTTATTAGTTCGGGAACATCTGTCTGTCAGTGATAGATATGATTCAGCTCAAGAATGATCGAGGCTATCAACGAACGACGACGACGCGTACGTAGAAGCAGGAGACGGTGCCAGCGGAGTTGCCGGGGATGAGCTTCATCTGGATGCTGAACTCGCCGTAGAGGTACTGCTCCTTGGAGTTGAAGCCGGCGCCGGAGCTGCGGTCGAGGTTGAGCATCGCCACCTGCTGGCCGGACGCGTCGTAGTTGGTGCGGACGGTGCCGTCCGTGTTGAATTTCTCGTCGAGCCACGAGTCCGCCGACGCGACGGCCGCCATCACGAGGGCCAGCGACGACGCGAGCAGGGCCTGAGACCGCCGCGCCATGGTGTCTGCAGCTGCGATAGAGCTTCCTGGAAACTAATGGGCTTGTTGTTCAGTTCACTGGAGTTGAGTGGTCGTGTGCTGCTGTGCGGCGAAGCACGGAGAGGTGGCGCGGCTTTATACTGGTGGCCGGCCGGGTGCGTGGCCTGCCCTGTTGCTGCTGGGATACAGCAGGCGATGACGTGGCGTGGGGCACATTTCTTTTGCTTGTCGGGTGGGCGCGCGGCGAAGGTTCGGCCGTTGGGATCGTTGGGCCAGCCAGCACATGAACAGAAGCTGCAACGATATGATATCGAGCTAGGGTTCATACGTGTATTGGGACGACTCGGGAGTTTGGTGCGGTGTCCTAAGAAACACTTAGATTATTGTGGGACCTGTACAAATTATGTGTGAGGAATTTGATGATGCCTATGATCATCACACAGCGTATTTATCGCTTACATACGATCGGCGGTCTAGTTTATCATTTGTCTCCCAAGTCCTTTCGTTAAATAAAACCTAATGATAAATATATAAATAAATAACTATATATATAACCTAATAATAAATATATAAAACATATATAAGTCCTTTTGAGAGAGCGGGAGACAGAGTGAGGTGCTCGAATTGAGAAACATATATATTCCGTTACCAGACAAAGAAAACTAGAATACTTAACCACGGTGATGAATACCAGGATGCAGCTGGTATGGTTGTTTTGCTGTGTCGGTGGAGAGAACTTCTTTTATTCTCTCCAAAAGAAGAAGCGTTTCCGGTCCTTTCCGCAGCATATAGTCTATTGAGGCTACGCTACGGAGATATATGCCAATGTCATGGTGGAAAAGCGCCACGCATTGGAACTGGGTGCAGATCGGCAAAGCAAGGCAAAAAGAAGCGGAGGATCGGAATCGGCCAAATGAGACCGCCACTACTGAGGAGTGATGATGATGATGGTGGTCGCTAATGTCTGCCAAATTATTGAGTTAGTTGCGCGTTCGTTGGGTTAACCACTAGGCGTCGCACCAATCAAATCAGTAGGGACACCGACGTCGTCGAGGCCGTTCCATGTTACTAGCATGGATAACGGACGGACGGGTCTAATTCTAAACGCAATTAGCAATTAGCAATTAGCCGGTTGGTGGCAAGTATCTTCGCTCGCACTCCTACGATCTCCTCTGAACGCTACGGTGCTGCTGCCGCTGCGCCATCGCTATCTTTCCACGGGGGCATGCCGGCCTGGGAAAAAAATTATGTAGATACTGTATCCACAGCTGCTTCATGCATATATGACGTGGATGCTTGACACGTGTCGGACTTTAACATCCAATGCTATGTAATAAGGAGTGGTCCTCCGCTAAAAATAGACTCGACTCCAGCCGGGCTCATTCACGTGGCCACGCCCATCTACCATATGCCTGCATGCACCATAGAGATCAACGCATGGCGCAACTGTGAATACAGTTTTCATAGAATTTTTTTTCCGCCGGCCTGGCGGCCTCAGCTCGCTTTTAGGCTGCCGAGAAGCATGACGCAGGAGTCGGTGTGCCCGTGTACGTGGCGGGCGGGCCGGGCCGGATTCTGAGTGCAAGATGAGGCCCGGCGGCCGGCGGCGTCGCGTCGGTGAGCTACAGTGTGGCTACGACTCGTGCCTGAATGTACACGGCGTTCCTCTGGCTCTGCTAGGGTGTCCCTTGCGCGTCACGCTAACATCATGGCCAGATCGTGCCAGAAATCCAAAGAAAACACCACGACCACTAAATCGTGTCAGACGTCCTGTTTTTATAATAACGTGGCGACGACTGGCAAACACCCGTGAACAAGAACCGCAAACACATATGCAAGAAAGAAAGAAATTTGATGGAATAATATAATTTAAGTCCATCACGTACACCGGAAAGGAGCAAATATTGCGGTGGTACAATTGTCGAAGTTCTACAACTTCAATTCCAGACACTGTTTTCTTTCTCAACTTCCTGCGATGCAACAACGAAACAGGTTGGCGCAGGTAAAGTACGCTACCAAGCATATGTACTGCTCCTCCTCCGGTTCCAAAATTATAAAACATTTTGACTTTCACTGCTACAAATTTCAACTATAGAGATGGTTGGAATGCCTATGTAGAGACGGTTAGCCTAGCAGCCTATGCTCTTCTGCCTCAAAAAAATTATTTTCTAGAGGTGGTTGAGAACAGACCTGCCTCTAGGCACAACCGAAAACACAACGGAAGATGTGAAATCTTAGAGAAGCGCAACTCCCAGCAAAACCAGCTTGGCCAGCTTGGGAAACCGGCCTGGCCGGTTTTCCTGTGCTGTGAGGGGGAAGCCGGCTTGGACGGTTTTCTAGTCCAAGCAGCCCGAGCCAAGGCCCCAAAAGCCCAATCTGATCCAAATCGAAACCAACTCAAACCAAATTTTAATTTGCACAAATGTTTCTAAGTGTTTAGAACCTTACTGCAAAGTTCAAACACTGAAACCCTCAGAATTAAAGCAGATTTAAGAAACCATCTTCTAACTTGGTATTTTCTTAATTTTCCTCAGAATCCCATATCTTCGTGCCTGCCAGGATTCTGCCAAAACTAGTGGCTAGAGACGTTCTTCAGGGGTCATGGCACATTTAGATCAAGCCCAAAAAAGCACAAGAACTTAGAAACGAGGAATTCACAAGAAAGCCAACCAAAATCACCAAAATGGAGACAAATAGAGCACTACGTCAGAATAGCATTTTACTGTCGGTTTAAAACATCACTGCCGGATTTTGAACCGGCACAACCATACTGACAGTGATGAGGGTAAGCTATCAGTGTCGGTTCCTACAAACTGGCAGTGTTCTTCAACTTCACTGCCGGTTCTTTACACAACCAGTAGAGTTCAGTTCCACCAACACTGTCGGTTCATAAGACCACCCGATAGAGTTCAGTTTCACCAATACTGTCGGTTTATGTTTCAACCGGCAGTGTTCTCGTAAGAATCACTGCCGATTTGTGACAAGAACCGGCAGTGAAACACTGTCTGTTTGTGTTTCAACCGGTAGTGTTCTTGTAAGAATCACTGCCAATTTGTGACAAGAACCGGCAGTGATGTATAAGCCAACGCTGCCGGTTTGTGGCTCCAGCCGGCAGTGCCATCTTGTCCATCACTGCTGGTTTATTTCTAACTGGCAGTGATGTTTACGACAACACTGCCGGTTTGCTGCTAACCGGCAGTGATGGCACATTCGCATTTTATTGTTTTATAATTTATTTTTAATTTATATTTTTTTATGGAATCGGGTTTCGCTTTATATACGCTACGTAGACGACATGTTCATCAATATTAAACATTATAAATGTTACGGTTAAACTTCAAATGTTCTTATCAAGATCTTGATCCCTCAAAATAAAAAAGAAATGTTCTCAGACTTCACAGATTGTGCAATGCTTCTCGAACTTTTTACAATAATCTGGCGAGCCGCTCTGGACCATACTGGTCCTTGAACTTCACGGATTGTGCAATAGAAAATACTCCATCTTTTTCCAATACCTCGGCTAAGATGAATTTTGTCAGCTCTGAATGCAGCGCGACGATCTCTATGTCTAACAACCTTTCGTGGTTATATTTTTGCGCTGTCGTTCAAAAAAGATGATATCCAAAGTGAAAATTTAGAACCATCAACTATTACTCCTGTTGAACATGAGAGCAAAGGTAATTCCCAGGACGCTAAACTTACGGAATGTGAGAGTTCTCTTGATGTGCTGAATTTTTCCACCAATCTTGCTATGATAGAGCAAATTTTAGTGGAGCCTTCGCTTGATTTACCTTTGTCATAAGATGATTTGCTTGACGTTTCTTGTGATGAAGATGACTTGCATGATGATATTTATGTTATACCCATGCAATCATTGAAGAATAATCATGCTATATGTGTGCTGAAATCGAACACTTGTGCTGAAAATAGACTTATTATTCATAATACTAGTGAAGTTGATGAGCTGAAATTGTTGTCTTTTTTAAATACTTTGGGTTACATTGAATTTGATGTTCCGTGTAATCTTAGTTCTTTAGAGGAGAAACTTTATGCATATGCTGATTTGTCATGGTTCTCTAGACATGCATATCATGTTTTTGGTAAATATAACAACCAAGGACAATATTTGATACAACAAGTTTACATTTGTACAAATCTGAATTCTCTTTTTGTTGTGCAAAGTAATGATCAACTAGAGGACACTAAAATCAACACTGTTGTTATGCCATATTCCTCTAGTTTTTCTTTTCAAACACAAGTGGAATCCAAAGAAAGGGAGCATATGTTTCTTGTTAGTACTAATTTTTTGCAGGATAGTATTGGCAAAGATCGTGTGTATTTCAATCGAGCAGACTACATGTCTGTAGAACAAGACATGCTTCAAACCTGGACATGTGGTCATAATCTTTCTCACAACATTGTCCATTCCCATTATTTTGGAAACCTCATTTGTCCTCATGTTGTGTAGGATCGACTTCAAGCAAAATCGACGCCGAGGACGGCTTTTCATCAAGAAAGGGAGGATGATAAGGACATGAGCTCCATGCATATGACCATGCTTCGAGATAGAGGACGAGGAGATCAGCAAGGGTGTCCTAACCAAGAAGGAGGCCCGAAGCTCATCTGGTTCGAGTCACCAAGGTGGAGGCCCAAATCAAGTTCGAGCCCATCTCAGGTTTTAGGACCAGTCTATCACAAAACTGGTGACACGGGCGCGTCCGGGCTCCGTTTTCGATGATCCACAGATGGATGGAAAACTAATTAGATAAGGAAGTCAATGCAAGTGGTCTCATGTCAAAAACCCTTCGGAATCAACAGGAATCGTCAAAACAAGTTAGCGTCCAGAATCTGCCAGGTTGCTGCGACACCGTCTTTTGGTTCATTAGACCGTGTATCGTGTTTGGGCCCATTAGGGGCGCATCCAGGGGGTGACGTCCGGAGCTCTATAATTAGCAGTCGTCGCTCTCCTTAGGGTTTGGGTTTTGTTTAGTTCTTGATTTCCTCGTGAAACAGACGTCGTT